CAGAAGATCTTCTCAATCAAATTTATGACAAATTTGAATAATAAACTTCATTAATTATTATTATTAGCTTGATCTCAAACTTGATTTTATTCCCTTTAGCCTTTAGGTATATCTTTAACAAACAATGCAAACAAAATCTTATTAAGTAATAATATAAATCAGAGTTGATATACTAAAAGTTTTCCTAAACTATTCACTTTTTGTAATTTAATAATTAATCTATATATCGATGCGTTGTTATTATCGTCTGAACTATAATATTTTATATTGTACAAAAAGATAATGTAAATTGTCACATGATAATGCTTTTTTATCTATCACAAACTATAACGAGAGTGAGGTCACTCTTCATGCCACTTGGCATTGCAGGAATTTTAGATAGAACTCGATAATAATTTTGATCTAAATTTTATATTTGTATTAGAAAAAAAGAAAGAAAAAAGAAGCTCGTTGTATAGGTGTATATAAATTACTAATATACAGATTGATAACTTTACAAAACAAAGACTCTGAACCCATAAAGTTCAAATCGTGACTCACCCTCTATCCTCCGATCATAAATCCTCTTGCATCATTATTAGATGAATTTGGTTGATTATATTTTTCCTTGTTTTGGAATTTTGACCAGATATGATCTTATTCAAATCCATATTCTCTTCGTATGTCATGACAAGATATATTGTCATTTTGTAAATATATGCATGAAACATGACCTTTCTCAGTCCGATATTCAATATTAATATTGAAATTTGATTATTTTAGAATTAAGCTATGTAAGGCCTCATTCGAACACGACAATCAGTTTTAAAATGAGTTGGAATGTTTATATTGTATAATCTTTTACCAAATTATAATTGAAAAAGGGAAAACAAAGGAAGGTGGCATGGACTTTGATAAAATAATATTTCTTGCATATAAGTTTGATAGAAATTTTCTTTTATTTGTCCAATTTTATTTTTCCAAAATTGTATACACGAGGGTTTACCCTAATTGTCATCGAGCTAGTAATAATATAGTAAGTATATTTCCATAATTAAAACTATGTTAAATACGAAATTTCTTAGGTTATTATATACTTATATCAAAATGAAAGGAATATCATGATCATGTCAAAGTAATCCACACGCCTAATTTTATTTGTTCGCTCTGTTGAACATTTCTTTTACATTATTATCTTTGAAAATTATCGAAAATACAAAAAAAGTATGACAATATTAATTTTTTTTTTAAATGTTATTGTAGTTATATATTGCATTGCATTTTATTTTGACAAATGAAATTATACTCTAAAGAAAGCATACAACGCTAATAAAATCCATTTCATCCCACTAGGCTTCTATAGCCTTTCTTCAAAAGCTAAATAGGCCAAGATGAAATTGAAGTATGAATGTCTATTCTCATGTTCTTAAATTAATAAAACATCCTCTATTTTTAATTAAACAAACCTAGCTAGGGTGGTTGAGCTATATAAATTAAATAATTTGATTCATAATAGTTGTAGAAACTAACCTAGGCTAGTATATACCATAGGTAAAACCCAATTTGGAAAAAACGTTCTTCTTATCACTTCACGTTAAAAATGATTTTTAGTAGCAATTAATTAATGATAATAACTTAATTACGATTAAATATATTTTTTAGAGGTAATTAACACTTTTTGTAAATGTCCTTAAAACCCATATATAACGATATTAAACCTAATGTCAGTAAAAAATTTAACACCTATTTGATTTAAGGAAAATTAATGTTAAAAATGAAATAATTTATGTGTGTTTTGTTATGATTGATTGTTATATCTAAAGGTACTACATACACATCGAACCCAATTGGGTTGAACTTGGCTAAATTACGACTTGCTTATAAGGTATTTTAAACGTTAGCTCTCACATTGAATCAAGTCTGATTCTGATAACATATCAAAATAGGACTAAAGAAAATTATCTCATATATCTTATGGTGATGTATAGGATCTTATTTTAATGAGTTTGATCCAACAAGTTTCAATGCATGTTGTCGAGGTCCACCTTAAATTAGACATTTAATTTAGAATTACTTCCTTCCGTCTTATATTAATTATATCCATATCATAAAAATCATTTATTACAAAATAATTCACCTTACGCAAGGGTATTTTTTTTTTAGACTCCATAAAGAGGGAATAGTCCACTTAAGTGGAAGGGGAGGACTATTTTTTTTTTACATGGGTCAAAAGACTGTCCCCGTTACTCTTTCAGGAGAAGTCATTTTCTTTTTTCGAAATTCTTTTCCACAACTCCTTATCACTATTTCGCTCTCTATAAAGTATAGTGTCAGTCTCCTTACTTTAGATGGTACAAGAGGTATCTCAAATCTTTTCACTAGAGAACCAAACTAGGACTAGCAGAAAATTATCTCATATCTTCTCCGCTCGTATTAAAGAAAGGTCGACGTAATGAATAAAACTCACAAACTTAACCTAACTCATTTTATAATATAAAAAATCAATTAATTTTGTATCATTTTATTCTTAGTATTAAGTGATCATGAGTAACAAATTTGACTAATATAGCATAAGAATTACAAACTTGAAAAGTTCAAGTGACAATTAATTAATAAATATAAGATTGTTCAAATAGAAATAAGATTATCATACCCTTGTTTTCTTAAAAAGAATGTCTATTTATTGAAGAGACAAAAGGGCAAAGTAATAAAATTGGAGTATATGGTTATTGAAGAAAGAAAGGGATACTATATATATGTATATTACATAACATATTACATATGAAATATAAATTATCACGTAAAAACACATGTTTTATTTGTTCAATTTTCCATAAATTTAAGTGCATATGCACATCCAAATTAAGTTAAGGGGCATAAATATCATTGATGCCATTTTATTATGTAAATACAATTTAATTTATATACACCTAGTTTAGGGTAGGGGTAGGTCTAGAGATTAGAGTGGTCTTTGTTGGTATATATATATTTTCTTAGATCCAAAATAAATGAATTTTAAGGTCTAGAAATTTAATTATTTATTCTAGATAGGAAGGAGTATATCAAAATTACAACGAAATAATAAGATATATAATATGAGCTTGACCATCAAAGACTATGATGCAGCGAATGTAATTAATTCCTTTTTAATTAGAAATATCAAATTCAAGTTTTAAATAAGAAAACTCTTAAAAAAATCTTTTTTTCTTAATTAAGATCTTTTAGAAATAGTCAAACTCCTATATAAATATCGAATTGCCCATCGAAAAATGGTAACATGGGCTTGCATGATGTATACTGACAGTAGAGGCCCCAAAGTTGGCAGTTTACTAAGGGCTAAATTTCCTATTAGCCACTTGACTAGTTTGTGAGACACATGTAGAAGGACAACAATGTGTATAGTGTAAAAGAAGATTTTATATTAATCAAATTGTCAAATAATAATAATAATATATGGAATTAATGACTTAAAAAAAGTTCATGACATTATACAATACATTTATATTGACTTAAATTTTATTTACAGGTAAATCTTTATGATATGTATCAGTAGTATGCAGATATCATTTGTCATACTTTGGGATATTGGTGTCTCTGACATTCAAAGACTAGAGCATATATATCTTTATACTAACAAACATAAATGTGTCATAATTTTATTTACCGACTTGATATTTATTAAATATCGAATCGACGAATAAAATTGCTTCATGTGTTCCTATTTAGTCTTCCGTTAAAGTGAAGGGTATATATGCTCTAAATTTTGGATGACATAGGCGTCAATATCCCAAAAATATGATAAAGGGTATGCAGATATTATTTACGATAGTTTGAGAGTATATTTATCCTTTTTCCTTAATTAAAATGGTAACAAATAGGCTAGGATAAGTTAAACTATATTATCGACTTAAAATAGTTTCACACTATAGATTAAATTTAATTAAAGAAAGGACTAATTAGTCATTACAAATAATAGGATGTACAATTGAAGGCTCATATATACCTCTATTGGTTTCTTATATTTATCGTTATTTTTGGTCTAAAATATGTCCAATTGCTAATGATTTTCCAACATGAAAAGATTATATTATATTTTATATTATAAAAGTCACATAGGAGTATATTTGAAACTTTTCAATTTTTTGGTGACATATTGAGTGTTTTGAATTGTTTAGGGATATTTATAATTTATTTAATAGTTTTTTTTAAAAAAAAATTAGAATCTTTTATTTGTCTGCAAATCTCCTTTGTGGCAAATGTCAGAGCCAATCTTGACATTTGTTAGAAGAAGCCTAACTATCAACAAAAAATTAACAATACATGATTTTCAAGAAAAGAAAGATAACCTTTATAAGTATAAAAGATGTGAAAAGTTATGAATTTTTTTTTTGGGTGGGGGGGTTGGGGTGGGGGAGGGTATGGGGGTATTTTTTTTTTGTCATTTTAGCTATTTTATTTCGGTATAAGTTATGTCGAAAGTATTATTCCACCCAAAGGTCGAGATAACTTATTTCGATATGTTCTTTTCATTTATCATGGAACTCCTTAAAAATGTTTTAAATAACTAGGCTATAACAACCTATTATGTTAAAGATGTCCAAAATATGTTATTCAATTAATAATTTTGTGTATCATTTTACTTGTATATGCAGTATTTTTTTCCGATGAAGGGTGTCCAATTGGACACTCTCACATTTATGTGCCTACGTCCCTGATCATGAATAAGTTATTCCAAACTTTATAACCAAACACAGTAGTTAGGATTATCTCCCTTTGTCATCACATCAAATGTGTCCTTAATGTGGGACAAAAATAACACTATAATTCTAGAATAATTAATTCTTGAAATAAGTTATTTCGCGATTTTATCCTAATCAAACAAGGATGAACTCATCCTAAAATTAATCTAAATTAGTTATCCTTATCCCTTTTACCAAAGGAACCCACCCCACCCCCTTATTATCTTTGTTATCAATTCCTCATAATACTTTTTAAGTTTCTATTTAAAAAGAACAATAGCCCACAACTTTCTCCCATGCACTTGTCTTCTTCACCTCCAACACTTGTTCCTTAGTGTTTTTTTTTCCTTCTAATCTTCTTCATATGGTTCCCTTCTCTCTTTGTCCATAACTTGTCTCTCAAATAGTTATCATCCTCTTCTCTTTTTAAACTCCCCACAACACACACACACACATTCATTCAAACAACATATTCTATCTATTGACACCTTAATTAACACAAATTCTTGCCTTCTTAACACAGTATAATGTCAAATCGAAGAACACGCGGTTCGAGACAATCATCAGGAGCTTCTAGAATAAGTGATGATCAAATTGCTGATCTCGTATCAAAGTTACAATTACTTATCCCTGAAAGCCGGAGCACTAGGAGTTCCGATAAGGTAGTATTTTTCAGTTTAAGTTATATATACCGACAGTTTGAATTCCTTAGTTATATATAAGCATGTTGAATTGTACTTGTTGTGGTACATTCACACATTTTGACAATGTTATTTGGTTACATTTTGTTTGTTCTCTTCTTTTACTTGCTATAAACTATATATGTTGTGTTTGTAAAAATGAATTGAATTATATTTTTCCTTGAAGCCATTCATATTTTTTTGTGGCCTTCATTATCTTTTTAGGGATAAGTTTAATTTGAAAGTCATATTCTCATGCCCACTAGGCCATATTGCAAGCTCCCTCATTTAATATTTTGTGTTGCTTAAGCATGTGGTGTAGGACTCTTTGTCACTTCATAACATTTCTTGGCCTAGTCTCACATTTAAATATGCATTGTATTTACAAACATTGATCTTATGTTAATTACATTAAAAAAATAACTATCTCCTATTTTCTTGTACTTGTGTTACTTTTTTTTTTCTATACTTCTTTTTCCATGAGTCAATGGTCTATCACTCTTCCTCTAAGGTAGGGTAAGGTATTCGATCAAGGGCGGAGCCATCTTCGTGTTAGGGTTCACTCAAACCTCCTTCGTTGAAAATTGTACCATTTATACATGGTTCAAATTATTTTTTATGTGTATATGTTGAAACTCCTTTGGCTAGTTCATGTTTGTACGTACTTATTCAAAATTTGAACTCCTTAGTAAGAATTCTGGCTCTGCCATTGTCCACGACTCTTTGTACATTCTACCTTCATCAGAACTCATCGGTAAAGCAATTTCTAAATTATTTTATTTTATTTTTAAAAATAGGTTGAAGCTTCCAAAGTGTTGCAAGAGATATGTAATTACATAAGAAGTCTACACAGAGAAGTGGAAGACTTGAGTGATAGATTATCAGTGCTTTTGGAATCTACTGAAAGTGACAGTGCTCAAGCTGCTATTATTAGAAGCCTATTTATGTGAAAATTGTTGCCATTATTAGAAGCTTACTAATTATGTAACAATAATTTCTATTTACTAGGTTTTATTATAATTTGTATTAATTATCATCTTGTTATTAGTTTTCTTCTTCTAAGATGCATTAGTACTTATAGTTAATTATAATTAAGGGAATTAGATGTCATATTGAGAAATTTACTAAATATTATAAGTTGACTGAATTCAATTATTATTTATATAGTCCTCTTTATCTGAAAGTCTCGTTGTTGCTATAATGAAGTTTCTTTATATATGTATGTTGATATTTGACGTTTAGATCTTATTTAACTGCTATAAAAGTATGCAAAATTATTTTTTCTTGTACTTTTTATGTTGTAAACGAAAAAAAATGTATTATTTTTTTAACAATTTAATGAAAATAATTGGTTAAAATTTATAAAATGAAACTGAGGAAGTAAACAAGTTGAGATTATAATAGGAAAGAATGAAGTACAATAAGTTGAGATGCAAATTTGGATATATAATAGAATTATTGACTATCTTTTAGATTTCAAGAGCTAAACATATTTGTTTCTTATTGGAATTTTCTTTATATGTTTTAAAAATATTTTTAATTGTTATTTGTAGATATACTTTATATGTATAAACTATGTTGATTTTGTGTCCAAATACTTAAAAATCTATAATCAAAATTTAAAAAATTAACTCAAATCTGAACTATACCATATAAATCGAGATAAGCTATAAATGTGTTATTTTCTCTCTCATATTTTAGGACTTAAAATTACACATGAAAGGTGGCCCAGGTTGTACATGTTTTCTATGTGATATCTTTTTTTTGACTAACAAATAGAGAGATTTATAACTTACTTTTAACTATAGTATTAGAAGAGTTTTGTGATAATTTTTTTTTAAAAAAAAGTAAAAAATAAAAAATTCTACTCTATAAGTTTCATAATTTTAACCATTTCTTGAAATTCATAACCAATTTTTTATAAATTAGATTTCTTTTATTTTAATTTATTTGTTTTAAAAAATGTCACGTAAATTGAGACGAAAACAGCAAACGTCCTTGGTGGTGGACCATTTCGTAGCTTGACAAATTAGGGGTTTCATAAAGGTTCATGTGCTGCAGCTTGGCTAAACATGACTGTGGACCATGCAATAGAGAAATGCACATGATTTTATTATATTGCAATATTCCTTTTATTTTGGGGCCTCTCGAGATAATTTTTAATTATAAAACAGTTTATTAATAATATCATACAAATTTGTAGCTCATGAAAGGGATAGTTTCAAATATATAAAATTATAAAAAGATTAGTTATAATCCATAGAATTTAGCTTGTCAAAAGTCATAATAATTACATATGACTATATAACATAACTTACATATATATGAACTATACACTTACGATAATTATGATACACTCAAAAAGTTTAATATATTCTAGTGGTGCTATACTTCCAAGAATTCTGACTTAGAAATTTATTTCTCAGTAGATTCATAGAAATTCAATAACTTTTATTCGAACCCTATATAAGGAATTCATTAAATGACTATAGTTATTTGACTATAAATTTTCAGTTATTCACTTGAGATCGCTATAGGATACTATAAATTTTAAATTCTGAATCTGCTTCCATCCCGAGCAATTAAAACGTGAATATCTTGAGACTCCAATCATTGTTACCTTTGTTTGGTGTTGTACAAGCTTCCATTTTCTTCTACCTAATATAAACAAGCAAAAAAGTTAATAAATTTGAATTTATATTTGGAATTTGCAGTAAAATGTACAAGGGATGTATTAAACAGAACCAAAACATGCATTTATAGATGCAGGCAAACCCAACAGTGGATCACTGGCTGCTAAATAGCAAAAGCATTCAAAAGATGATGCGAATCACGACACCATACAACAATCTGTATCAAAATACAGATGAACGATGAACGAATTTGAGGCATGAACCTACACTTACACTAAACGAACCATTAAGTACAGTACGAGACGTTACCATCTGGAGATTTACAAAATGTTGCTGGTGCAGAACAACACAGGCTAACGTCAATATCTGATTCATTATAAACTATGTTTCTCGCTATCACTAAAAATATTCAAGCTAGAGCTCCCAATGGGATCAAAATGAAAAATGAACCATATCAAAGGCCCTAAATGAATAGGGCACTTTGAACACCAATAACAGCAGGGACGCCCTTTGGTAACTGCAAGATCTATACCTCCACAAGATAATGGTAAGGTCTGTGTATATTCTACCCTCCAGAGACACACTTGGTGGATTTCAGTGTGTATGTTGTTGTTGTTGTTGAAGCAATTTCTCCATTCTCGGTTAAAACACCAAAAACAAACTGTAGACACTTCTCAAAACACTAGAAAACTATTTATGTCAAACTGCATATGATACAGCTACCTTTTTAAAAAGTTTAATACTACACATAGCGGGAAGGTGAACAGAGAGAGTTACAAGGTTGAAATTAAAGCCTCACCAACAAGGTAAATTTTCGGATTTCTAAGATTCCCCTGATACAGCTATCGTCAAGAGCAATGGTAGTATATTTTACGAGGGTGAACAAAGACCAACTCTGGCAGCTGAAGAATCATTTTAAATTGATAGGTTTTCCATTTCATGTTCAATGGTAAGCCTAAGCCAAGAAGGTATGAACAAAGTCAGAAACATATTCAGGCTCCAAACAAAGTACCAAAACAAATACCGTAGGAGCAAGTATCTAACGAAACCATTTAACAAGAACTAAAAACAAGACTTGCGTTCCTTGAGACTCAAGAGACTACCAGACAAGCAGTTTAAAATGTCATTTGAGGGTTGAAGATATGGACCACCTTACGCTGAGTACAAGTATGAAAAATCAAATATTCTAGGCAAAGCGTTGTCCAGGATACTCCATTCTGAAGTAGTATTTTCTTGTTTCAGGAATTTGTCTTGAAGGAAATCACATATATATGACGGTTCTAACTCTAAGATTGGGAAGCATGAAGTATGTATACACAAAGTGTTGTATTCTGCTAACTTCAAAAGATCTTAAGTAGAGGCAGATCTACAGATTTGCCTATGGGTTTGGTAGAACCCAATAGCTTAGACTAGAACCCTGTAGTTGTGTTTAAAATCCACTTAATATGTACAAATAACTTGTCAAGCACCAACTAAGCTGTGTTTTCTACAATACAAAACTCATAAACTTAAAATGCTAGCTCCGTATCTGATTTAGAGGGAACTTGAGGTCATAGACTCACAACTCTGTACCACCACAAGAAACATTGGGCATTTCAACATTATTAAAGTTGTTGAACCCAGGGAACAAAGACGTTATTTACATCTCGGTTTCTAAACAATATCTTCTCTGAGACCGAGTTTGCATCATCTGCTCAAGAAAAAGATGCAGAGCGTTGCAACTTAGCCATCTTCGAAAGATACCTTGTAATATTAGTCAACCTCCAATACTTTTAACTATCAAAGTTTCAAGGTTCAGAACATTGGCTAGGAACGGTAACCTGCATTCCTCAAAAACCCGAACATCAAGATAAGTCAAGGGTGAATTCCAGATCCAGTAATGCTGAAAAACTTGGAGCTTCTGAAAGATTTTTGAAGAGGAAGAAATTTGTGTGACATTTTTAGAAGACAAAGCAATTCGTGCTAGCATCCCTGAATATAGCTAGTTGCAAGTGACCATGATGAACTCCATTTTACGAATTTATCTTCTTGAGAATAAAGAGATAAACAGCAGGAACTCTTACCAGATTTTGAAACTTCGTGTTTATATTCTAAAAAAACCTCCAAAATGATAGGAGAAATTCTTAACTAAGATGTATTACATCTAACCTGATAAAAGAACAACTAACTGAGGTAGCCTTCCACAAATTTTTTTGTTATCTCTAAAAGTATCCAACTTTGACCCCTAACCAAAGTTAATCAGGTAATTACATGTACCATTTGCCAAATTATTATCAGTAAGTTACTTCTTGTATCATTGGTCACCTTCATTGTCAAATAGTTCTTTTTCTTTCGTATACCTACTAATTCATCATTAGGATTTCACTAAGTCCAGTGATTTCATATTCTCATTAATAGCAATGTAGAATGGTTAGAAACACGCAAGATTAGCTACTAATTCGTTATTAGGACTTCACTCTAAGTCTAGTGATCTCACTAATAGCATCATGTAGAATAGCTAGAAACACGCAAGATAAGCTACTAACTCGTTATTAGGACTTCACTATTAAGTCTAGTATCTCAATAATAGCATCATGTAGAATAACTCGAATCACACAAGATTAGTTACTAATTCATCATCAGAACTTCATTAAGTCTAGTAGACTAGCTAGTAACACACAAGATTAGCTACTAATTCATCATTTGGACTTCATTAAGTCTAGTAGAATAGCTCGAAACACACAAGATTAGCTACTAATTCATCATTAGGACTTCATTAAGTCTAGTAGAATAGCTAGTAACTCACAAGATTGACTACTAATTCATCATTAGGACTTCAATGAGTCTAGTATGTCACTAATAGCATCATGTAGAAAAGCTAGTATAACACACAAGATTAGCAACTAATTCATCATTAGTAGCTCACTGAGTCAAGTAATCTCACTATGAGCATCATGAAGAAAAGCTAGGAACACAAAATATTGCACCCATCTGAATGTATTTTCTTGACCCAAGTAAATCAGATAATCACATATACTTTTTTCCAAATTATTATTAGTAAGCTTGCTTCTCACTAATACAAGGGAACTATTGAAAACATCTCAAACTTCACACAAATATTAGTTTCATCCCACACTATTAAAGCACTACTCATTCTAGTTTGCTATCTAAAATTTATATACACCCGATCTGTCACCAGTCTCAAAAACTCCTTATTCTACTTGACTAACTAAGCTTAAATACATATCAATCTGTCACCACATGACATAGAAAGTGGTCTCAAATTCTTATAGATAGAAGTTGCCAAATAATGTTGAAAACACTTTTTAAAACTAGTTGACAATTTAAGATGTTCTTCACACATGTATTTAAATTCAGTTCAATAATTATCTCTATCAATATGTTTGGTCACTTTTCATTGTCAAATAGGCTTTTTTTTCCTTGTATCTTATTTATATAAGAAGGGATCGTTTGGTTGGAAATTAGTTTTCTCAAGATAAAAATAATTTATTCCACCATGTATATGAATAACTTATTTCTACCACTACAAGATAAATAATGGAATAAGTTATGCCAAATATGTCAATCAAACAATATACATAAGTTTTTATTGCAGGACTATTTTTTTATCTCAAACATTATTTATACATATCACTCGCACCAAATGAGCCCTAAAAGTTAGCTACTATACCAATTCATCATTAGGACTTAGCTACTATACTAATTCATCATTAGGATTCAGTGAGTGTAGTAATCTCACCATTAGCAAACACAAGATTGTGCCATATCTGGATATATTTATTTTGACCTAAGTCATCTTTCCCAATCAAAGCATACCACCAGCTTAACATAACCTCCAGATCTGAACACCTTTTTACTAGTACTTTCATTTAATCCTATTTTAGGCATCACATCATCAAAACTCACCATTTCTTAGCTTATGATGAAGCTCATAGTAGATTTTGAAGATGTCATGTGAAAAATAGAAGAACAAAAATACAAAGTATTGGCAGATCTAGATGTTATCAACTGTTGGAATGCCTGGACTGGGGAAGAAGAATTTTGGTCAAGCTACTTCATGTGGAATGTGGAGTGGAATTGCAACTAGGGTTTGCAAGGCATAAATAAGGGTGAATCATAAATTTTTAGGACAAAAATATCCTTTGTTATTAATATTTTGTTTTTTACAAAGTAACTCCTCAACTTGCATGATTTTATCATATCAACCCCTATATTTTGACTTTTATTAATTAAATAAATATAAATATCTCTACTTAGTAAATGACAAATTTGGTTTGTATTTAAACCTTGAGATAATTGTTCATGTTTTTTTTCTTCTAAGAAATTAAGAATTTTCTGAGAAAAAAGAAAACAAGTAAAGTGTGTATTAATTTCAATGGTATGACAAAGTTACAATATAATGATCAGACTTAAATAAGGAAAAACATAATTTTCGCAGCCATATTCAACATACTACCACCATATGTTCAACATGTGATCTTCTTCGCATGTTGATTCACGTAAACCACGACAATCCAACTTAGAAATGTATTTTTAAGTTCCTTGTCATATTGCCACCTCTCTGTTAAACATGTGATGCACATGTTGTTCCACGTGTAAATTCATAAATCCAAATTTAAGCAAAATATTGACTCAACATACGATACGACATGTAAACATTATATCCAACATACGGTCCGCGTGTTGCTTCGTGTATCAACACCTAAACTTTTGAAAATTCTCAATTTTGACCCTTTTCCCTATAATATATAAATACGATTTTTTTTCGATAATTATTCGTGTAGTTTCCATGAGTAATTCAAGGTTAACCTAATACCATCCAAATCCATTAATTCCAGCCCAATATCCCACTAGCTAAAACTGAAATACCAGCCCAAAGAAAACCCAATTTTTTTTACCTAATACCCCTTTATAGTTTTGTTTTTTTCCTTTTGCCCAATCAGAGCCGCCTTCACTGTTTCATAAACAACCATTTTTGTTGAAAAGGAAAACTCCATTATCGGTGTTGAAGGATTGTTGTCCGTCTATACTGGGTAAGATATCTCTGCCCAAAATTCAAGTGATGAGTATATTGTTGGATGTATTTTTTTTACCAAATTCTGGTATACCAATAATTGAGATAACATCTAGGTTTAATGATCTTTTGAGTAGCTAATTTGTATAGTTATTTCATGTACACTTGCACAAAAATATTATTGAACCTTGATGTTATCTCAGTGTTGGCATGCATAAATTGGGTAAATTTATGATTGAATGTGTATTTTGGTGTTGTACCAAATCCAGGCATGCCAACTATTGGGATGGCATCTCGGTTTGTTAGTTGCTGTGCAGTATGATCACTGTGGCAGGATCTGTGTTCTGCAATAGTAAGTCAGTCTTTGCTTTTCTTACCGCTTGTTTGAATTGTTGTTGTATAGCCTTTCATAAGGTATAGTATTGTATTCAGTGGCGGATCTAGAATTTTTATAACACGGGTGCACACTACTGAAACAAATTGAGTAGACGGAATGTATTTAGTGGGAATCGATGCTTGTTTCTTTGGGCAAATTAATATTAGATCAATTCTAGAAAGTACAACAATAGCATATCACTTGAGATCGATCCTACCAAGTAGGGTCCGAGGAAGGTAGAGTCTACACAGGCCTTACACTACCTCGTTGAATTGGAGGTAAACTCGTAGAGGTTGAGGTAGAGGGACTGTTTCTGAAGGACTTCGGCTCAAGTACATTAAAACTATGTACACAAATACCTAAGTTGGCCTAAACTAGACTATAAATATGTCCATACATTCGCCCTTAATTGTATTGTGTTGTTGATGAATACAACCTTCCAATGGCCCCCAAAACCTAGCTCAAGTGGCAAAAGGTGGAGGATTTGTGACTTAAGTCGCATGTTCAAGCCCTACACCACGCAAGGCGGAGCATGGTATTTAAGTGGAGAAGGGTAGAGGAGCGGACTCATTATACACCGAGTTTAGAAGACTATGATTGGTCCAAAGGGCGGGTCACATACAGATTTCTCGGTTATGAGGAAAAAAGAATACAACCTTCAGATATAGTTGGAGTTGTTGTAAGAAATATTGGTTAAAGATAGTTAAATAATAAACACAAGAAAAGTGAGAAAAATTATAAGTTAAACATGAGATAACACCAAATATTATTGTTACATAAATGGGATTTTTTGTTATTGGATAACACTGGACTTAACGTTTATGATACTATAAAATTTATATAATAATCAAAACAAATATTGCGCTTGAAATAACAATATGATATAACAAGTATGTTAACAATCATCCAAACAAGCGTTTAGTTTGGAATGTATGCATTCTTGAATCCAATAGTGCATTATCAATGTTGTGTAGGACTTGTTACTAACCATTGTTGAGATTATATAGGAAGTTTGTGTTTCTGGCAGAACCATTGTCTTTACGCTGAGCAGTAAAGACTGAAAAATGTCAAGTGCCTTGGCTAATGGGCTGGCTGGAGCTGGTGGGGGCATAATTGCACAAATAATTACTTACCCCCTCCAAACTGTCAATACACGGCAGCAGACTGAGAGGGTCTCGAGAGAGGGCCGTGATTCTCGTGGCAGTGCCCTGTTTCAAATCTTACAGGTGGTTAGAAGTGAAGGCTTGCCAGGGCTTTACAGTGGCCTGAAGCCTTCTCTGCTCGGAACTGCCGTGTCACAGGGTGTCTACTACTATTTTTACCAGGTTTTCAAGAACAGGGCTGAGGCTATAGCAGCTGCAAATAAGAAAAGAGGCCGAGGGGATGGTTCTGTTGGGATGCTTTCTTGGCTCGTTGTGGCAGCTCTTGCAGGTTCAGTAAATGTATTGTTGACAAACCCTATATGGGTTCTAGTTACTCGTATGCAGACTCATACACAAGCAGAAAGGAAAATCGTGGAGGCAAAAAGGGAAACCCTATTAAAAGAAGCTTCTCAAAGTGTCTTGACAGCTTCTTCCTTGGAAGTACAGCTCGCTGAACTTGATTCGTTGAAACCTCATCCTTACGGGACATTGCAAGCAGCACGAGAGGTTTATAATGAATCAGGAGTCACAGGATTCTGGAAAGGAGTCATCCCAGCATTGATCATGGTGTCTAATCCCTCGATTCAGTTCATGATTATTGAGAGTTTGTCGAAGCAGTTAAGGGCTAAACGTGCTGCGAAGAATAAAGACCAGCAGAATATAACTGCTTTGGAAGTTTTTATTATCGGAGCCTTTGCTAAACTTGGAGCAACTGTATGCACATATCCATTGTTGGTTGTGAAGTCAAGGCTTCAAGCAAAGCAGGAGATTAGTGGAAATGTCTCATTACGATATTCAGGTACAGTCGATGCTATTATTAAGATGATTCATCACGAAGGATTCAGATGCTTCTATCAAGGAATGCGCACAAAAATAGTGCAGAGTGTCTTTGCAGCCTCTGTACTTTTCATGGTGAAGGAAGAGCTCGTCAAAGTCTACGCTGTTTTAGCTAACAAAAGTAAGGTTAATGTATAGCTTGCAGTCATAAAGTGAACTACTTAATAAATCTTCTTGCTGGATAATTGCATATGATTTGTACTGTATTTGTATTCAAATTACAGAGTAATAATTGTAATATTCCCTAAAGAAAGCCATAGTAAGCTTGAAAGTGAAAAGTAGCTCAGATGAATGAAACTATTATTTGAGATAACTGCCCTTTTGGGGTTATATTTTGATAATTAGTGCATCTGTTGACTTATAATTGTGCTTCTGCTATGCCAAAACTAAAGGGGTCGTTTTGTTTGGAGCAAGTTATACTAGGATTAATTAGATCTCGAAACAAGTATGGAACATTGAGTGAAAAGTCAAAATAAACAACAAAAGCTTGATTGAACTGCAACTTGTAAAAATCCCTATAAACATGAAATCAAATGCAAGAAATTCTCTTATCTTATGATAAAATTGATTTCAAACAATGATTTTCTTGTCACAAATAGTGTCTTTAAAGAGAATAGGCATGTCCAGCATCAAGTATATTTCTTGATCCAAAAACAGCAAATTCAACAATTTCATTACATCTTTTAGTTTCTGGGATAATTGGACAGTCAATGATGTTTGAACCAGATTTATCAACACAAACATAAACTTCATAAAGTTGACTATTCCCATTTAAATCAATATTGCATTCTACACCAATAGTATGTCCAATGCCTTTTTCTATTGCTTTCTTGATTGCTTCCAAGTTGTAAAATCCCCCATTTGGTTGGATACCTGAAAATATTGAATTAGATCTTATTAAAGGCACATTCAAAATTCGGACCCTCATGTTATATTGTCCACACTCTAATTTACGGTGTGAGCTTGTGAGGTGTTAGAGTCTATTAGAATCTCATATAAATTTGTTGAGAAACAGATTCGTGGTCTTTTTTGTATGTATTTGGGCATTTATTCCCTCCTATCTAGCTTCTGAAATTTAGTTAAACATATCTTACATGTTATCAGAAGCAGAGCACACAAAGATCCTATTATTGAATCTCACCATCACCCATTTTCAATTGTTTTTTGGGAAAACTACACAAAATGGATCCACCAGGCAAAGTATTTACTAAAATTGCACCCAACACAATACATTTATCCTAATTGGACCCACAACATAAATATTTACCCTATTGCACCGTTGTTCAGTTCACCGAAACACTACTTCTTCATCTTTGATACCATCAGAATATAAATATATTCTAATGATATTTATATACTCTCAGGCAGTAAACTTTACATTAGTAGTTAAAAACATGGGGTATAAAAGTAAAGAGGTAGTCGTTTGTAATAGTTTCTTTTTTTTTAGGTACAATACATGTTTCCCTTATTTATTTTTTTACGTGTTTGGCCCATGAAAATAAAAATCAGGCTCGCACGTGAAGAGTGTGTTGAGAAAATAACTAATCTAATAAAACTATGATCTCTCTAACATGTTAAACTTTTAAATAAAACAGTCAGAACACAATATACATAACTCAATCTCAATTTTATTAAAAATTCATTTGTCTAATATATATATTACCTGCATTTTTGAGAATTTGGAGTAGATTGACCTTTTCCTTTAGAGCAAGAGCTGCTTGGAAATAAGAATGTATGTCCAACATTGAAAGGGAACATGTACCATGTTTCTTCCATTCATGAGACCAAAATCTTGTTCCATTATTTGATGGACAAGATAATGTTGGCCAATTCTTTTGCATACTACTTATCAAGTCGGAAATCTGTATTATAAGTTGTAGTTCGTCTCATGTCAATATAATTTTTAATTTTGATTTCGAAAAACGAAAAGTATCACCTAAATTCTTAAAACTTACTTGTGTTTCATCATAACGAACATTCTTATTACAACTTTTTGGAAATGATCCATTGAAGTAATTTGGCCATAGTCCATGAATACCAAAATCTTCAGCTGGTTTCCCATTTGTAGGGTAACAACATTTTATCTTGCTGTCACATGATGCTGGATTCCACTATTTAGTACGAAACAGTAAAGAAATATAAGAATATAATTTTCGATCGATAACTTTCAATAGAAAAAATTAAAATAAATTTGACTTATGAATTATCAAAACACCAGCTAAGAAGTAAACACCTAAATTTTTTTAAAGTACATTCAACATCTATGATATATATACACATAAAATATAATTCAAAACTATACCCCTGAACCCTTACTAGCTTTGCCCCTGATCAGAAGTGTCAACTATTTATAAATTACATACCTGTTGAGCAAAATAAAAGAAATCAAAATCTTGAGCATGTAGAAACGTGATAAATTGGAAAATAATGAGATTAATCAAGATAACATAAATGAATCTCATATTTGCTCAATTGTTCTGTGTTAATTTTGTGCTGTGGATGAGACTTAATATAAAGATGATGAAACCACAAAAGTATTAGTAATAATTTAAATATGCCAGTTTGTTCCCACGTTATGGTAACGTGGACAATATATTAATTTAATTAAACTGTATAAAATTTAAATCATGTAACTAGTGGAGTAATAAAAAAATAATTTTTAAAATATATGCTTTAGTGGGAATTAATGGAGTAATTCAAAATAGGGCAGCGGCATGCTTTATTCCTTTTATTTTTATAAAAAAACTTTATTACTATTATTTTTAGATGATTTTATGCTTCATATGTGTGAATAAATAAATAAAATTCTTTGGAAGATAGAGGACGGACTTTGAATAAGCTCTTTCCGTATTCTATCACGAGAATTCAGAATTCAAATAATTTAAAATAATCTATCCCAATATTTGTGATATACGTGTAGATATTGAAATTTTGTGAGACTCTAAAAGACATGTTCAATTTGAGATGAGACTCTAGAAGATGTGTTTAGTTTCAAAGACATCTTGAATATTCTACAAATTGATGGAATATTAATATAGAGGTCAAATCATATTGGTACGAGAAATACACCACTATTTCTCTCTATTTTATTGTGATTGCAATTTATTTTTTTATTTTCTGTCACCTTAAAAATCACGAATAAGGTATGTTAACAACAACATAACATAAAAGTTCCATAAATTGAAATCTACTCTTCTACCTTCCAAATACTAGCTAAAACTTCATAAAATTTTGTCGACTCTTTTTCTTCATTATCAATCTTGAATCGGAAAAGGCTTAAAATTACCCTTAAACTATTTGAAATAATTTAAATATATTGTTAAATTATATTTTGAATAAAAATATTCTTCCCGTCTAACTACTGGACCACACTTGCCGTTGTATTTAACGAAAGCATCTGGTGTGCTTAAATACCACATGGACTCCACATGTCCACGCCAAATAGACCCCAACTCCATATAGATCACTTAAATCCCTAATTTCATCATTTCCTTAAAATTTAAATTTCTCTTTTTTAGTTAATTCGAACACCACGATCATAAAAAAAAAAAAAAAATTCAAAATTGATTATCAAAGCATATTTTTCTCTAAAAAGCAATACCCAAAATTGGCGGCCCATCAAAAAACGGCAAACCCAGTTAGCTAAAAACCCAAACTCATTTCCTTTTATCTTCTCGTCTTCTCAACGAAGGTGCGCCTTCTTCACCGGCAGGAATAATTTCTGGTAAGTTTTCCCTTTTCATGCTTATGTTTTTGATTTTCTGTAGTGATTTTTACTAAAAGTAGTTTAAAATTTGAAGAAGTAAACATATGAACTAGTCGAACTAATTCTACAACAATTTTAATCATGTATAAACGGTATAATTTTCCGTCAAAGGATGACCACTAAATGATGCTAATGAACTATATAAAACATTTTTTTTGTGCTGAAGAGTATGATTTCATTGCAATTATGTAGATGGATAACTAATGAGAGCTTATTATTTCCTAGGAGTGGTAGCATTTTATCCAAGTATCTAGCTTGTTGTTGCCTAATTAATCTAGAAATGAGGCTTAGTATTTGTTGTATCTGGACAGTGGATAGAGGTTACAACTTCAGTTTGAACCTCTATTTGTTGACCTTATGGCGAAGAGCAACGTTTTCTGAGCAAAACTATCTGGTTTCAATTAGTTAGTAGTGTAAAGCGACATTTAATTTAGTATTCGTGACTGAAATCTCCTGTGTATTAGCCGGTCCGTCCCTCGTTGATGCACAAGTTCCAAGCTCGGGGAGTATGAGCCTACCCCTCTAGCTAGATGCAGGGTTTAATTTAGTGACTTGCGACTACCACACGTTACCAGTTGTACTTTCTTTACCATTTAACCGAAGTCCTGTGGAAATAAGGAATGTCAGTATGTCTGGAAGTGTTTGGGGAGTTTCGATTCAGTTGACCTGGCTATGCCTGATTCTGAAGTTAGATACTTTTAGGGTTCTCTAGTAGTTGGTAGCTGCTACTTGTTCATATTTCTTACGGAAGGATGCATAGAAGTATAATTTTTGACAGTAGAAAAACCAGCATGTGGCATAACTGGTGCAATGATATTTCTTCTTAAAGGAAGAGACTAATTTGATTGTTTTGTCATCGTATTAGTAGTTTATGAGTCCCGATTGATGCATCAGCTGTTTGGGGACACTTGGTGATTCACTAGTTTTCATGTATAGTTGGAGATATTATGGGATGAAATATCTTCACACTGTCCTTACTGAAAGGAACAGAGTTAGGTGGCGCAGCCAAAGGTGTATAGCTATGTCTACTAATTTTTGTCGAAGAATTTCCTGGACGAAAGATTGGGGATGTTAAGTTTTTAATAATTCCAAGTCAGGGGAATGTTAAAGAAGTAATTGGGCAAAATTTACAAGTCTCTTTTAGTAATGTGTGTCTTTTTTCTTTTTAAAAGTTTCAAAAGATTAATGATTCAGTATCTCCTTAAAATTTTCATGTCTTGTTGTTAATTGCCGAACAACCACAACAACATACCCAGTGTAATTCCACAAGTGGAGTCTGGGGATGGTAGATTGTAGGCAGACCTTACCCCTACCTTGGGAGGTTAAGAGGTTGTTTTTGATAAACCCTCGGCGGAAGGAAAAACATATCAAAGCAGATACTAAAAGACCATGACAAAGCATCCGAAAAAAAGAATAGTAACTACAAAATAGTGTGATAATCAAAGTACAAGAGATTGTAGATAGTAACAGAAGACAAGAAACTAAAAAAGAAATACTACGACTACTAGGAAGGAAGGATAAGCTAGACAACACTCTATTACCTACTAACCTTCTACCTGAATCTGTCCTTCACCACTTCCTAACTAAGGTCATGTCCTCGGTAATTCCCGAACTTCTTTGATCAAGTAGACATTCATTACTAAGCATTCATAGGATACAAACTGTATAATTCATAATTGTCTCCTAATAAAAGTGAGGAATTTAAAAAGTCCAGAGTTGATTCACATTATATACATCTGAATAGTTTTCCCAACTGAGTCTATTCAAAAGACATCTAGCTTTCAAAGTGGGGACTGAGGTTTTCTCTCCTTCAGAACATCTTATATTCCTTTTTCTTCAAATTATCCAAAAAGTAAAGCTGCGAATGGACTGCTACGGCCTCGTCTTTACCTTCTGAACTTTCCAAAGTCCGACTGCTAAGACTTTGTTTATATCATTAGGTGTGACTACACGCAAGCAAAAAAGGTTCAGGAACGTAATCGACACTTACTTTGTTATATTGCAATGCTGAAAAGGTGTCTGCGGTTTCATATTCATACTGAGAGAGGTAATATGTACTGCATATTTGAAATTTCACCTCATTAGATTGTCCTGTTAAAGACGAGTCTCATAAGTCTGAATCCATGTGAACTGGTTACCTCTACTGGGTGTTTGTTCTCCAAATGATTTTCCAAGGCCAGTTATCAATTATATTGTCACCCGACTCACCTCTCACGAGCACTTGATACAAATCTCTCACTGTGAATTCTCCCTCTGTGTGACTCCATCTTACCTGGTCCTCCTTTTAATGGTTAATGTATATCTACTGTTTCCCCTCATTTTTGCTACCACTGCCTCTGGTGATTGGTTAAACCGGAAAATAAGGGGAAATTCTTCTCTGAGAGGGCTGCTCCAACACTAACTATCCTGCCAGAACTTAAATTTTCCCATCTCCCACTTGAAAGCATATAATTCCTGAATGCATGAACTTATGGAAGATGTTGCAGACAATAAGAACTTATTTTGGGAAGGTGATGGTGGGGTGGCCGGATGGGTGTAGTGGGAGTATTTTCTCATGGGTGCTTGGATTGTTGAATTACGTAGAGGCTGGTTATTGCTATTTCATTACCTAAAAATGGCTCTTAATGGAGCCTGGAGGGTTCATAATTTTACATCCAGAGACTCTCTGGTGATTATTATTACAGGTCTTGGAGCCTTCAAAACATGAGAGGGTTGCCATACTTTCTCCCAGTCTCACGCATTAGATTTTTTTTATTGATTGAATCATTTATAAGCTTAACATTACAACTTGTTTTTTTTTTGTGGTTGAAAGCACAAGTTGCATACTTTGATCACTCACCCTCATTTGCTAGATCCAAAGGTTTAATATTGCGCACGTTCTAATTTAACTTTCCTTGTGGAAGCCTTGGTCTCTTACTATGCAACATTACTGTACAAGTGAAAGGTCTCCATGTGTGAGAGAGTAATTTCAAAGTCGTCCTTAACTCATTAGTTACCAAAAACTGGAGAAAAAGAATTATAGTAATGTTCAACTTCTTTCTTAATGACATTGAAAGTGTGAAGGCTTATTTTTTGACAATTGCATCTTTGTCTGGTGCAGGTTTTCATCTTCAGAATATGAAGGTCATTAGTTATAACCGCATCATTAATCCCAGTTTTTTGCTCATAAATCATGAATTGCCTTCCAACATGTTCCATCGACCCCGGTTAATATCCACTTCAGCTCCAAGTATTTCAAGTTTCAATATGAGGAAAAATGACTTGATGATGAGATTACCGTGCTGCTTTGCTACGAGAGCTGCTCTTTCATCTTCAGTGAAGACAGACACTTCCAGTGGAAGTAAGAAACAAAAGAGCTCATCTTTCTACACTCATCCTAGTTTATTAGAGATGAAGAATGAGAAGGCAGCCAACCGTGTACGTGTTTATGAATTCTTGAGAAGCATTGGCATTGTACCTGATGAGCTCGATGGATTAGAGCTTCCTGTGACTGTGGAGGTCATGAGAGAACGCGTGGACTTTCTTCACAAATTGGGACTCACTATTGAAGATATTAACAACTATCCTCTTGTTCTGGGATGCAGTGTGAAGAAAAACATGATTCCTGTGCTTGATTATCTGGGCAAATTGGGTGTTAGAAAATCCACCTTGACAGACTTTTTGCGGCGGTACCCACAAGTTCTACATGCAAGTGTGGTGGTAGACCTTGCTC